GTTTTTCAAACAGCCATAAGATGGAGCCAGAAACCTGGGTTGTTTTAGTCTTAGTCTCAGAAGAGAGTGTGTCTGAGTGAGTATCTCTGTTTCCTTCTGTTGGAAAGTATTGCCGTTGCTCCATTTCTTCTAATTGACTGATATTACTGGATTTGATGTAAGTCTGACACTGAACTGTTTTTGACACTGGAATTTGATATTTGGATTATCCCTGGATTGAAAAACTGACTGATTTTACCTGTGAATGACTTTTGGACTGCTTATCTTGAACTTTAAACATTTCTGGAAGTAAAAACCTATATTTACTGTACAGTGTATCTGTGTACTGTGTGTGTATTATTCAAACACTTCTTTCAAATACGTCTCCCTGTATGCGCTCATTCTCCTAACGGGGAATTACCTCAACACTGGTCAGTTGTCAACTCATAAATATTTCTATGGTCTTTTTAGAGTTGTCAACAGAAAGAGAGGGGGGGAGCAGTGGGCAGCTTGCATTCCATAAATGTTTTCAAAGATAGTTTCTAGGTGACCGACATTTCTGCCACACAAAATTTTAACTGGAGAGCATGATTGGTGACTCTTGGCTATGGATGTGTCTGTCCCATTGGAGAATATGAATTACGATATACCCAGGGGGTGGGGGGGGAAACCAGGGTCAAGGGTGACAATGAATGATGGTGCCTCAGGGTCGGCTCCACCCAGGCAGTGCTGGCATGTTTAACTCCTAATAAATCACTCATGATTTAAATGGGGTTCATTGCCGGAGCCCTGCCATCAGTCAACATGACTGACTCGATTTTACACCCTTTATATCCTGTTTTCCTAGCAAACACCCTTTATATCCTGTTTTCCTAGCTTCAGCTAATGAAGGGAATCAGGGCCCTTTTCTCCCCCGTAACCCACGTTGCTCCTTTATCCGTTCCTCCCTGCGTGTCCTAAGATGAAGAGGGAGTGGGCCTGGGTCTTCCTCTGAATGCCCAGCCTGACTGTGCCCTTCCCCAGTTTCCTCCACAGCCACTGGAGCCACACTCCCACTCCCTGTCAGCTGTTCGACCTCCCCCTCAGAATCAGATTCCAACAGGGGCATGACAGTACCATTCAAACAGCCACTAAAACGAATGGTTTTAAGTATTTCCTTCCTTCCTTCCTCCTTCCCTCCCTCCCTCCCTCCCTCACGGTTCACTTACCGAAACATTTGCTCTGGTTTGTGGCCCGATCCATAAACACTTTGGAGGAAATGATATTCCCAAACGGAAGAAACATTTGCATCAGTTCATTGTCTCCGAACTCTTGAGGCAGGTGGTAGATGAAGAGATTGCAGCCTTCTGGACCTGTGGTTGGAAAAGACAATGTGGAGTATTGGTTGGTACCAAGTGGGTTTTGTCTGAAGAGGAAAAGATGGCATCAAAAGATTGTTTAAGGCAAGAGTCTTCAAACTTGGCACCTTTAACACTTGTGGATTTCAACTCCCAGAATTCCTGAGCTAACACGATTGGAGGAGGAATTCTGGGAGTTGAAGTCCACAAGTCTTAAAGCTGCCAAGTTTGAAGACCCCTAGTTTAAGGCATTGTTTCTCAACTCCAAAAACTTTTAAGATGGGTGGACTTCAACTCCCAGAATGCCCCAGTCAGCATGGCTGGCTGGGGCATTCTGGGAGTTGAAGTCCACCCATTTTAAAGTTGCCAAGGTTGAAAAGTACTGGTTTAATCTTAGTTTACTTTATTGTCATTGCACCTCATACAATGAAATTAAATGCCACCTTCAGTGTACATTATACATAAAAAAATAAAACAAGAACACACATTCTTCCCATTCTATACAATTGAATTGAAAACCTCCGATATCGCATTAATATTGCAATATGCAGTAGAATTCAATAGAGTTACTGCCCTGGGATAGAAGCTGTTTTTCAGCCTATTTGTCCTTGTTTTTATTGTCCTGCACCATCTACTAGATCATAATAGTTCAAAAAAAGGGTGCCCAGGATGAGTAGGATCTCATAGACAGGATCTATCACCATGGTGGAGTTTAATGGGCAGGATCTATGACCACGGTGGATAATTTCAACTAAAGAAAAAGAAATCACACTGCCTTTTAAAATCATACCTTGCAGATACACCTGTTAAAAAACGATGGGTAAATGGAAGTATGTGAATATTTTTAAGCAGCTCTATACCCATGCTTCACTACAAAACTACCGTGTTTCTCACAAAATAAGGCCGGGCCTTGTTTTTTTTTTGAGCCCCGAAAAAACGGCTAGGACGTCTTTTCGGGGGTGAATTAATTTCTCCCCCCGCCCCTCCGCGCACCAGCGTCGTCTCCAACAACAGCGTCTGAGTCGCTCCCGCTTTCCCCCCGTAACAACAGGAAAAAAAAAAAAGATTTTGAGGTACCTGGGAGCGCCGTGCGCTGCGTTTTGGTTTAATCCCGAGCGGCTGGGTGGGCGTGAGAAGAGCCGAGCGAGCGTCTCTGCTGCTGCTACCCTTTGGTGCTCCAGCCATGGAAGTTACGGAGGCGGCTCCCCCACCCGAGAAGCAGCTGAAACGCTTCCGCGGTTCCCGCCGCTGCTGCCGCTGTTATTGGAGACGCCGCTGGCGAGAGAGGGACAGCTGCAGCTCGGCCTGGGCGCTTGGAAGGCAGGAACGAGCTGCGCAACGGGACTTTTGCAAACTTGCAGGGCCCGAGGCTGGAGCACCAAGGGTAGCAGCAGCAGAGACGCTCGCTCGGCTCTTCTCACGCCCACCCAGCCGCTCGGGATTAAACCAAAACGCAGCGTGCGGCGCTCCCAGGTACCTCAAAATCTTTTTTTTCCCCTGTTGTTACGGGGACGGGGGGAAAAGCGGGAGCAACTCAGACGCTGTTGTTGGAGACGGCGCTGGCGAGAGAGACGCCAGCACCGGTGGGAACCGTGGAAGCTACGGAGGCCTGAGAAGCGGCTGAAACGCTGCTGGACATCCACGTCGACGCCACCCGCCTGCTGACCCGGGTAAGGGAGGGGTAAGGGAGCCCTCCGTGCTCCACCATGGTGTTAGCGGCTGATGGTGAGGCGTAGCTGCCCGCGGGGGACTCCTAATGGCAAGTTCCCCCCGCCTCCCCCCCAAATTTCACACGTTTTAAACTAGGCCTAAATTTGGGGGGAGGGGCTTAATTTCATTTTATGCCTAGAAAACATGCTGGGTCTTCCTATTTGAGGGGGGGGCGTATTGTTGGAGAAACACGGTATGTGGCTGGGCTTAGTTTTTGGGGAGGAAAATAAAGGGAAAAAATTCTGCCTCTGCCTACCATCATCCATCAGTATTCATCTGGCTAGGATCCTGTAGGTGTGTGAGAGAGTTGAGGGCTGTTTGGAAACTGAAACAGCTGTGTGAGCAAGGAGACAGCAAGGAGCCTGGGCATGGCTTAGCTCAACTGTTCTGTACTAAAGCTGCTTGGTGCTGTGAAACTGAAACTGAAACCGAAACTCCTCTCCTCTGCTTGTGTTTTGCATTTGGAACAGATTTCTTTTCAGGTGGGGAGGGGGAGTAGAACTCCTTAGCATCAGAGCGTGTTAATAATAATAATAATATAGGAAATACCAATGCTCTGATGGGTCATTTCAAAAAAAATTCTTTGTTAGTGAGGAGGACCTAGAAGCCAAGAGGAAGATATGTGTCAAATTTCAAGTTTGTAAGCTTTACAGTTCTGGAGTTTTTGTGATGAGGCATGAGTGGTTATTTCTCTTTTATATCTATAGATTTAAAGAAATCGGGGGATTAAGGAGTCCTTGGTGTTCTCTGAGCTTGGTGGCTTTCTTGAAGACATTTCATTACCCAGCTAGATAACATCATCAGTGCTGCCTGCCTGAGGATTTCTGGGAGTTGAAGTCCTCAAGTTTTAAAGTTGCCACGGTTGGGAATTACTGGTTTAATGGGCAGGATCTGGTGGAGAATTTCAACTAAAGAAAAGGGAATTATCCTGCCCTTTTAAACCAGACCTTGCAGACAGACCTGTCAAAATTCAATGGATAAATGATTGCACGGGAATATTTTTAATTGAAAAAAAAGTCTGCTTCCAAACACCCCTTAAAATCTAAGTTTGTTAGGGATAACATTGTTTTACCCTAACTGTTTTGGGTAAAGATAATAAAATGATGAATCATGGTTTGTCAGATAAAGTGTATGTGACTTTAAGCTAAAGGAATGTAATTAAGGGTGCAGCTGTAAAAGTACTATATAAGCAGCAAGGCACTCTCTGGCTCTTACTGGCTGGCTTATTGAAGACTGCATTCTTGCTGGATCGGGGAGGAGAAGAAGTGTTGGATTACTTTGAAGATATTTCTCAACGGAGAGAAGATAAGTTTTGGACAGATTTATTATATGTGTACTGACACTGGCTATTCGACACGGACTTTGCAATTAGAGTATCCTCGACAAGACTTGACTGAATTTGGTATATGACTAATGGACTGTGTATAATGACTATGCTATAATTCTTAAATGGAATAAATTATAATTTTGATAGCACAAGCGTATCTGTATTTTTACTGCGTGTTAACAAGAAGGCTTATCTCACACATTTACCTGTCTTCCTATCTGACTTCGCTGCACATTCTGTTTAGTTTGTTTTCCTTAACACCCGTTGGGGAATCCAGGCTTAACAAAGTTCCCACACTGCAGCTCTACCTTGGCCTTTTGTAACGCCTAGCTATCAAAATGATGAAAAATTGAAAAGGTAAGAGGGGAACATTTTGATGGACAGATCAAAATACTAGCCAGACCTACGGGGGAACATTTTGGTGTAACTTTCCATTGTCAGTCCTATTTTTTACATAGGTAGTCCTTGATTTAACGACCACAAATGGAATCAGAACTTCCATCACTAGGTGATGTGATTTTTAAGTGAGTGGCACCCGGTTTATTACTCTTTTTTGCAATGGTCGCAACATGAATCACTGTGGTCATTAAGTGAACCATTTAGTCATTAAATGAATCTCGCTTTCCCCTTTGACTTTGTTTCTCGGAAAACCCCTGGGAAGGTTGCAATTAAGGAATGCAGTAACTACCATGAATTTATCATACGATCCTACGATCACTGGGTGACTGCAAGGGGTTGTAAATTCTAGGACCTGTTGTAAATTGCTTTTTTCAGGTCCGTCATAACTTTGAAAGGCCAATTAAGTGAATGGCTGTAAATTGAGGACTCTCTCTCCTTATTATCTGGGTCAACTACAAAGATATCCCTTTGGTCTTTTTAGCTGCCAGCAGAAAGAGAGTGAGGGAAAGCAGTGCATTCCTTAAATGCCTCAGATAATCATCTTGGCAGCCCAAAGCTGTTGGCACGCAAGACTATTACTGGAGAGCATGATTGATGACTCTTGGCTATGGATGTGTCCCATTGGAGAATATACATCCAGGGTCAAGGGGGAAATGAATGACGTATTTCAGCATCGGCTGCATCCAACTAACGCCAACCTGGCCACTTGTAATAAATCATTGTTTTTTCCTCTGAGAGACGTGGCTAGAGACTTATGATTTGAATGGGGGTGGATTTGTTGGATCCCTGACCATCTGGCTTTGCACAGCACACAGGTAGTCCTCAACCTATGATCACCATTGAGCCCAAAATTTCTGTTGTGAAGCGAGGCATTTGTTAAGGGAGTTTTGCCCCCCCTGGTACGACCTTTCATGCCAGTCGTTAAGTGAATCACTGCAGTTGATGAGCTGGTGTAACCCAGTTGTTAAATAAATCTGTCTTCCCCCTGGGTTGTCAGAAGGTCGCAAAAGGGGATCACGTGACACCGCGATGGTCATAAGTATGAACCAGTTGCCAAGCGTGTGAATTTTGATTGCACGATTGTGACCTACAAAGGGTGTAAACTGTGAAACACGGTCATAAGTCCCTTTTTTCAGTTGCCGTTGTAACTTTGTACGGTCACTGAATAAACTGTTGTAAGTTGAGAACTCCCTGTATTAAAGCTGGACGATCAGTACTTTCTGACTTTATTGATGTATTTGCCCCAAACAAAGAAAACCATAGCATAGCTCCGTGATGTTGAACCTATGGCATGCATGCCGGAAGTGGCATGCAGAGCCATTTCTGCTGGCACACGAGCCGTCGATCCACTGCACATGCATGCGCCCCCTGCCAGCCAGCTGATTGTCAGGTATGTGCTGCGCATGCGTGGGGGGAGACGTGCGTGCATTGCATTATGGGTGTAGGGACGCATGTAGGGGTGGGATTCAAATTTTTTAACAACTGGTTCTGTGGGCGTGGCTTAGGTGGTGGGCATGGCTTGGGGGTCATGTGACTGGGTGGACACGGCTTGGTGGTCATGTGACTGGCTGGGCGTGGCCAACTCAATATCACTCACATCGAGGCACGCATCTCCTCGCCTGGCCCCTCATGACTGAGGGGATGCTGCAACAGTCACAAGTGTGAAAAATGGTCATAAGTCACTTTTTTCAGTGCCATTGTAACTTTGAATGGTCACTCCAAACAAGCAAAGTACCAGCAAAGGAGGGGAAAAAAACTCCAGGGACGTTCCTGAGACAGGAAGTCTAGTCCTGCCAAGAATGTAATAAGGGTTAACGGAGAGGCAATTTCTGTAAGCAACACCAGAATGTTTCCTTCCTGCCTTCCTTACAGGATTAGGCCAGTAATTTCTTCTAACAACCGGTTCTCCGAACTGCTTAGAATGTTAGCAACCGGTTCTAGCGAATAGGTGCGAACTGGTAGAATCCCACCCCTGGACGCGTGCGTGTGCACGCACTCTCAGCACACAGCGACAAAAAAGTTAGCCCTCACTGGCATAGCTTATGGAGATAACCTGGTTCCTTCAGCATACTATATCACAATCTAGTCTCCTCCATTTTTACCCTATCCAGATAATCTGGGATTTAGGTGCTTAGGTTCTGATCCCTGCTTGGCCATTAAGATGAGAAGACGACCACAGATTTGTTCTCCGTCTTTTAGCTCTTTAAAAATCGGCTTCAGAGCTCAAACCAGAGCAAAGGATTAGCAAATGTGGAGAAATGTTGCCTAGATCACAGCGGTGGGATTCAAATTTTCTTTACTACTCGTTCGATGGATGTGGCTAGGTGGGGGTGGCTAGGTGGGTGGGGCTAGTCGGGCGTGGCCAGGTGGTTATGGGACTGGGTGGGCATGGCTATGTGGTCATGTGACTGGGGGGAAAACCCTGCTTTCTAGCAAATGTAAAACGCATGGCACAGCTGATCGTCAGAAATACCAGTTTGGCTGAGCCCATAGCATTTTTTATTTTATTTTTTAACTACCAGTTTAGGTGAACCGGGGTGAACCGGCAGCATTTCACCTCGGCCCAGATACATTATTAACGAACTGTTGTAAGTTGAGGGCCACCTGTACAGAATCCCCTCCTCCAATTTCCTTTCCATCACAACAACCCTTTGAGGTAGTTTATGCTAAAGACCCTGGGACTAGAACCCAGGTCTCTCCCCACTGACTCCATCCCCCTCCCCATCACATCGGATTGGGTTTGAGGGAGAGGGACTGGCCCTAAATGAACCAATGACTTTCTGAGGCTGGGGAGGGATTAGAACCCAGGTCTTCTCCCTTCTCCGCTCCAGCCCTTCCTTTTACTACACCCGATTGGCTCTTGGGCTGAGAGGGAGGGGCCGGCCCC